GATTGTGCAGCTCTGGATAAGAAATCCAATTTGTATTAGGCTCGCTCAATTTTTAAATAACATAATAACATCCGTTTATGCTCTATAGAGCTAGCTTTCGCCCCGCCCGAATGGTCCCACAGGTTATATAACAGGCTACAACATAGTATGAGGACAGCGCCAGAGCTCACTCAAATTATATGCTGATAAAAGTCTTACCTCAGGGTATTTTAGCGGGTGATCACTGCGCAATAGGTGCAAAATGGGCATTATATAATAATCGAATTAAATAACAGATTACTGGAGTCTTCAGGCCGTGCTGGTTAAATTAGGTCAATTGATGACCTAAGCACGAATATCGTGGGAGTAGTTGCCACGCAGACTCTGACGATACGTACAACAAGCAGATGCTCAATGATCTATATTATGTTGTGAAAGCGTTAGTGGTTCGAAGCCTCAGAAAACCTAAAATAAATATATATATATATATATAAATGCGATCGATAGGGAAATTCTAGCTGCAACTTGTTTTCCTTTAAAGCAGTACTATGGCATGATAGCGAATTGAACCGTTACCGGATTTCGGCGATGGGGTACCGCCAGTAAAAATTCGATGTTACGCAGAATCTCAGCTAGGTCATACCTATCCTTGAAAGGACATGCACGCATTCAGTGGTACGAAAGCAGAAACCTTTTGAGAGGACAAAACGGATTAGTTAGAGTGAAAGACACCCCGTTACCACCCAGCAACATCAGCAAACTTTAGTAAAACCAAAAACCTACCTTCTAGGCTCATTAACCCTTTAAATAATATTTCTTATAACAATAATCGACGCATCGTAACTGTCGGGACACTTGTCGACCTTATCGTTAAGTAACATTTGCTTTCAACATCGAATCTTCAAGTTAGATGTGTGAGCAAATAATTTTCGAATTCTTGGAACAAAAGCTCACGTAGTCCTACGGCATTCGTTTGACGATGAATTTTTACAAAATGTACAATCTACTACTCTATTCGAGAGCGGCACAGGCCATTGAAGTTACCGCCGGCTAACTTGTTACCTATGCGAAGCAACGGGTGCACCATTAGGACAATATGTATGAAGCTGCGAACGGAGCAGTTGATGTCGAGCGTGTCCATTGCTTAGCGATCGCTTGACACTCTATTTTTTCACACTTGAAGTATCCTTACCTTATGCCACTCCAGCGCTCGTATACTTTAATGAATCGACGAATTATTGACACATGGCTTACGTTCTTCAAATTGACCTAGATAGATCCGGAAGTTGACAATAGACTGTAAAACGAGAACCTTGTACGATGCCTTTTACTAAAGCGAAAATTGTAAAAGCTAACTAACTCTGATGAGGTGGCACAGTACGCTAATCTGGACTATTATTATAGTAATGTCAAAAAGGACAACGGACAAAGGTAAACGCTACCCCCCAGCTTTTATCGACGCGCAAAGTTACCGTTGACGGTTGTTTTATGTGTCATAGTTAAATGTAATTTTTTTCATTATTCAACTGCATCGAAGAAACCTAAGATAAGACGTTACATACATAGAGCATCTGTGCTTCTCGATGGTACGTTTTGACATAAAGATCCAATAAAAAAAAAACAGGGAATATTATACTCAAGTAACTGCACCGCTAAAGGGGAACCGACATCGGTTTACCAGTTTGTTACCAACAGGTAATTGATATCGCCAAATTTTCCCCCACGACGAGAAGTATACGTGATATGAAACTAAATATAACTATAAATATTATTATTTACTACCTACAGAGCGGAGTTTTGCTACGTTGAGAGTATTTTTCTTAGCAGCAAGATGCTTCACATATAAGCTTTACTTTGTTGTTACGTAAGCAAGCTCCGCAAGCCATAGCAAAAAAAAATATAGCCAGTATTGATTTTCAGATTTTGAATGAAAATTCAGTCTAGTTCGAACCATATTCGACTACATCCTCTAGCAACCGTAGGCCTCGCGAAAATTAACCGAAAATTTCTATTCATTACTTACTCATTGCTTTCAGCCATCGAATATTTTTTTTTACGCTTTTTTCGCATAATATTGGTCCAGCTTTAATATTTTCTTCAAGTCTATTCAGCGTCTCTGTAGGCAAACTAAATGAAAACGCATTTGTTTTATATTTGAAAATCAATTTTCAGCTATGACACGCACGACCACGTAGTACCAATTCTATAACGCTTCACTGCAAGGTAAATATTCTAATTGCTCCGTGCGTTAATTTTCCATTAGTAGCAACGTTAAGCTGAGTCCTGCTGTAATGATGCTAAAGTTAAACAGTGCCTCAGTTTACTGCCTGAAACTTGAACGACCTATGTAAAAATCAGGATATTTTAAGAGACTGGAATATTTAGCTCAAGGTACGTCGAGTACATTGGAATTCTTCGTGAATTCGGTTCATCATACTTTAATTCCGGCCCGACCTGCAAAAGAGGAACTCAGAATTAGTGGCCTCACTGGAATGAAGTTCATCGGGGCTGGGACTTATTCTTAGCCCACACAAAACAGGGATTGCGCTGAAAGTTTCTAATGGTACCTAAATTGTGTAACTCAAACTCTCCTTCGAAGAGCATCGGCTACCTATCGGATTCACTCATCCATCATCACTTGTCACTCTGAAAATATTTTTCCTAAAAACTTATTTTCAGTCGGGGTCCTCATAGCAGTTAACGTTTTAAAAACAATTTAAACAAGCTCGTAGCTTGCAAGCTTCACCAGCGGCGTAGAGCTGTACTATAATTCTAGATAATGTTACTCTGTCGCGCTCAGTTTCAACGTACATAGAATGTTTAGGTAAAATTAGTATGTTTTATCCATCCAAATAGAAAGAGGATAAGGAGGGGCACATATTGAAAAATAACAATTGTTGCTAAAACAATAAGAGTTGGATATTGCTCTGAGGGCCACAAGAACTATTTATATTTGCTTTCTCGCTCATGAAAGGGGCATAACATTCGCTGGCATTTTAAATCCACGTCCTATGTTTTGAGTAGGCCAAGATTTAATTTAGGAACGATTGTAATGCTCCTAGACATGATAGACAAAAAAAATCGCTTTGCAAGAAGTATCCATCTAAGTGCTTGTAGCCATTTTTTTTTATCGCTATAGGCCATGACAAAATTGTCTTATTTTCGTTGAGAAAGGTATGGCCTAGCTTGAATGGCTAAAACGTCGTTTTTCCTTTTCTACCTGTTCAACTATTGCAGTTACACGATTATTTTTTCTTTATCTAATTGAAAACCGGAGACTTTTCCAAATATATTGTTAATTTTATGTCCCCTCGTACTTTCCACTGATTGAAAATATCGTCCAGAGTATTAATGATGTCACTTACAAGACTCTAAGGTAGATTCTTTATATTTGCTAGTTTTGCGAGCATTTCGAAGTCTCTCTCCTTGTCAGATACTAAAATGAGATTGGCTTTAACTTTGTTCTGTTCAGTTCTGTCTTTACACATTAGAAAACTCGAATTCCCAGGGTATTATAAGACTACCTGCACTAGTGCTTAATCTTCTGCGCGGTTAACTTTTGCACATAACCTCAGGAGTCAGCATAGGCTTGTGTGAAGCTGTCAGCTATATTTATATTTGTCATCTTCAGAATTACCAATTTAACAATTTGAGAAAGGACGTAATCAAAAGATTCAGTCTGTTGTCTTGGATCTGGCCCCCGTACTTTAGGAAAAACAGAGCAACCATTGGAAACTTGTAACGTTGGCTACGCTCGAAACCGGTGACCTCTGGCGGATTTTTTTTTTATATAAAATGTATAACCTATCCTGTAAATTCTAAGATGGCATATTCTTGTCCAAACTTGAACATCTAACTTATAATATGCGATTTTGAAACGTTGTCAGTATCCACCTGCACTGATCTTTGATCATCTGTTTGGTCTATTTTTACCTTTAATCATAAGCAGTAGCGTGTACTAGTCTGTATCGAATTAAATTTTGAATCCTAGTAACTTCTAGCAGTACCATCTTTATTAGAAATGCGACAAAACAGGTAACTTGAAATTTACAAAGGTTTTTCATTAAGAGAAATTGAACTGTAATCGAACCAACTCATTTGCTAAAGTATAAGGGGTAAAAATATACCGATACGCAGAATTTTTTAAACTTATCTTATTTTGTTTCCTTAATCATTCGCTACTTCGTTAGTTTGACCTTCGAAATTCTTCTTCGAATATTCGTCAAACTATTTTGTGTCTTTAAAGAGTGGACCTTCAAAATAAAAATGCTATTTATAGCTTTTGAGTTTACTTCGTCTTATTTTTTGGTTATTATCTTATCATTATTCTTTTATTAAATGGACGATATGATTTTTCCTAAGTGCCGGGTTGCTGGAGAGCTCGTTGCATATTAACAAAGGAAAGAAGTATAACCCTTAGTACGCCCCATTTAAGAAAGGGAAGACTTTTTTTTTTTTTTTTTTATAGAAGATTTAAAGTTAAAACAATCAATAACATAAGAAATGAGTATCAAATTGAGCTGTACCAAAAGAAAATAAATAAACTCCAAAAGAATAATTGATGCGAAAACACATTTGTTTAACATTAAAGAATAACAGAATATCTAATAAGAACGATATTTCAACGACATAGCGAAGTCAGCTTATGGTAGGCTGGCCACCTTCGTAGCACTGGGTCGGTTGAGGATCTGTTATACCCCTGTCCGTGTCGTTTTGTAGCCATCTTGCCACGGGCTTAATAATAGTGCCAAATCGAATCCAATAGAAACGAACGTGATATTTCCTAACGGGTTTGATGCATGATTGAATTCTAGCCCCTTTGTGACGCTTACGATCTCCTTTAACGCCTTGTTCAATAATAGATATTTTATGCATGTTTCATCATAATCATTCACGTTGGCGTAAAAATAAGAAAACTGAATTAAATTAATATTTAATATAAATTTTCCTTCATGTATACATCGCGTGCTAACTCACTCTTTCGATCCTGTTGATCGAAAATTTCAACGACTTTTCCGCAGATGTAGATGAGAGATTTTGTCACGATCCGTTCGTTACCCAGTTGTAAGAATGAGATACTTCGAAGGTAATTTCAAATAAAAAACGTGCATCTCACCATTGATTTCAAAACGATATTTTAGATCAAGCCCATTTTTGCAATTTTTTTTTTATTCAGTAGAAATTGATGTCTTAACTAGTTCTATCCCACCTATTTATTGTCTTCCGGTTGAGACTGCGAGCATTATACATCTCTAACTGTTTCAGGGTAGGCGTGTATTCTGAGGCTCTAGTCAACGCGCTCTTCTTTTCGTCTGAAGTTGTGTTTAACGTAACCTATATGGACGTTATACTCTGCGTAGCTTGAACAGCTACCGCGTAAAGCTCCCACCCCTGTCTACCTTACCGTATTTCTCGCTCGCTATGGACATTCAACGCCGAAAGTAAAAAGGGAAGGCGTTGGCGCTAAAGGACAGCTGCCCTAATGGTTCACCCAACAGAGCTGCAAATAGAAAAATAAAGCTCGTAGAATACAAAATGTTAAATCTCTTTATCTCCCCGCACCACGTCGATTGCGACATCAATACTGACGCTATTCAGCTACTGCTGAAAGGAGTCATTTCATTTGGCGCTTGCCTTCAACGTGGAGCTCACTAGAAAGAAGCGTGCCTATCCTATCTGACCGTTGTGCTTGGCACATCTGAATAGATAACAAAGCACGTTATGGCTACGATTGCCGTGATTAAGTCCTTTGAATACAGAAGGATATGAAAAATTACTGAGTTGAACTCCGTTCAACATACTCCTAGCCGAAATGCACACAAAAACGTGTTAGTTCTTAGTTTAACAATTTGTCATTAAAAAGGCGATAAAGATTTTATCTTTACTTTTATGACTCGAATGAAAAATAATTGTGCTACAATTTCAGTTTTTTTTTCTAATCGATACAAAGTGGCTATGGAAGCGAGAGACCTGTTCTAGACAACAATTACACTAGATTGTTTTTAATATGATCCAGTTTAATTAGACATTGTATAGTATGCACAGGTGCCTTTCAACCCTTGATGTTCTAGGTTATGCCGCATGAGAGGTAGAAGTAATTTCACTATCTTGAAGGTAATAACTCTACGTCCAAATAACGCGCACGACGAGAAGATCATAATGAATTCAGATAAATCAACAAGATCAAACAGTGCTTGAAGACAGAAGAAACGCGCTGCCCTAACGTCCATTGAATAAGTAGGATATAGTTTGTTGTTTATCTTCGTTTTGGCAGTATTATTAGTATTTATACAATTCAGCTTGTTAAAGCAATGTTATACAATATATATATATATATATTATAATCTCTTAGACAAATTACCACTACATAAGGCAGAGTCGAGAAGGAATATTTAGATAGACACTTCCGTTTCGAAAATTTGCATTCAAATAACAATGATGTTCGAAGACCTGAGCTGTAAATACTCACTTAACAACTGTGTTTTTCAAGGGATGCTTATGATGCCGTCCGCTAATCAGGTAATGCTCGACCTGTTACCGACCTAACAGTTCGACGCCGTTATTCTTGCCCGTTTTAATACTGCCCGTGCCGTCCAGTCCATCAATGATCAGAACAGCAAGAAAAATTGAATAACTAGGGTGCATTTCCTACTTGACCCACAACTAAAAAAAACATTCTGATAAAGAAAGAAGCATCTTTTACTCAAACAAGCCTTCGAAGTATGAAAAGAAAACATTAGCACCAGCAGACATTACCGGAGAGCGTCAAAAAATAGGAGTAACTTCGCCATTCTAGGCAACATTCGAACGTCCTTAGGTCATACTGAAAAACGACGTCTGGCTAAGCAGTTGCCAGTCACTAAAATTTCCCTGGAAAGGTGCCTAAGAAATTTGGAAGGGTAAAAAGTCTATATTTAGACTTCGGAACGCAAGCAACAACTAAGAAATCGCATATGACATGCGGGCTTATGTAGACGGTAAATTCTAACTTCTAAAACTCGTTTTCAAATTCTATGGAGGCAACCGAGTCCCAATAACTTATACAGACAGAGGATGCATACAATTATATAATATGCTCTTTCTTTACACGAAAAGCTTCTCAGCGTCGTGAAGAAGAAAACAGGAGTTTTTAGCGTAAATTAAATGTTGTTTGAAAACGACTATGGAGGAAATTAGACGATGATCATGTCTGTGAGTAGCATTTTCCGAAAGTGACTACCCCTGGCTATGAGAGTGAGACTAATGCTCTGGCTAAGACATTTCCATTAACAAAAAACTGGTAGCATTAGTAAGCCAACGGGCACATATGTGTATTGGCATGCGATTTATTATATGCAGGAAGTTCAGCAACCCTACGAGAGGCACAATCGATGTCAGAGAATCTGAAGGCCAACAATCGGTGCAACTTATTTTTGAAAATCTTAAGTGGTCAGTGTGATTTCAACCGAAGTTTTGACGCCCTAAAAGGCGTTATTATTATTATTATTCTTCAAAAATGAGCATTTTTATTATTAAAAACACAAGAATCGCTGATGCACAACCAAGAAGACGAGAAGAGATGTAGGTTTAGAAGCATGTGTATTTCCCAAATAAGCATTTAGTACAGCTTTATTTCAGCTCTATTTATTACTCTAAAGAATAGCGTTAGAAGCGCAAAGCTATATTCTTTAGTCCATACCTAAAACTCCGCTACACAGAAGGCGTATTATTGATAAAACAAAGTGTGCGCGTTTTTTTTCTAGTGTTTTTCCTTGTTTATTTTTCACCGTTTGCTAGTCAGGCTTTCCCAGGCCGAACTCTGCTACCTAGTGTTAGCCTCCGGGTATCCTTTGAGTTAGTTTTCGTGTACACACCACTTCGTTTCGTTAAAGCTAAAAACGTTGTTCAAGTCCGTCTTGTCCATAACTAAGCATGCTAGAAGAACAACGTTTGGCAGTCGCCTATTTTATCGAAACAGATCCCTGTTTAGGTTATAGTGGTGGACGACAGCGATAGATAGTCGCTAAACACTGTAGAAAATTGACTCCGTTATAAAGCTATTCTAGAATAATATAGCTAGCATAAAGTTATTAGGCAATGCTATTTGTTGCGAAAAAAATGTGCGGTAACTTGGAACTCAATGTATGGAATAGAAAAAATCTATAAAGTAATTAGAAGTAGATTTCAATCGTGCGGCATACCGAAACCCTTTTCTGATTGCCCTTTGGAACTCGGATGATTATACACGAAGTGAAGGGCTACTAAATTGGAAAAAATACAAAACGTATAACGCGTGTATATGTTACACAATGCACCACACAAATTCCCCGTAGGCTAATAAAGACTCAGTTATATTTCATGTATAATCTTAGACGAGCCAGTGAGGACCTATCCGAGTCGGATCTGACGAAGTGTTTTGCTTTATTTACGCGCCCATTTTCACTTTTCTAATTATAATATTTTGATTACTTGTCGTTAATTTGGATAATTTTCGCTGTATTACAAGCATTGTGGTCTAATTGGCTTTGAAGAGCTATTAATTAGTTTTTTGTTATACCTCAGGCCTCACTGTCCTTTGGGGACCGTCTGAGTACGGTCGAAACAAAGTGATGAGCAGTCTAGACGGACCGCTTTACATAAAGTTATTAATTACCATTTTCATAACAGCGTTTGCATCAAGCCCAGGATCAGAGCTACTTGGGTCACAATAAGAATATAGGAACAGCGGTCGGGCCCCTGTCAGAAATAACTGACTGTACAGAGCAGATTTCTATATAAGCGCCTCTAATATAACATAAGCATGCCTCTAGTCGTCTCCTGTCTTCTTATCGTTCTGTTTTCTTATCGTTTTTGTTTGCGGGTAAGATCACATTTGGAAATTTAGAGACGTGCTGCCGTTAGTTTCTACATAATAACTAGAAGTCGTGTATTTTTCAAACAGACTATGGTTCTTATTCAGGTTAGTCTTAGGAAGTGTTTGACAGCGGTGTTTGCCATGGCGATATATTACGTGCACTACAGCTGGTGCTGCGTGCCTATCCGATGGCGGGATTCGTTTCTGACTCAAAAACACTTATTCGACGTCAACCGAAGATGAGCTCAATTGACGTACGTCTCTGAAATAGAGTCAGCCCGTCAAGCCTAGACAGTCTTAGTGCCAGAGGGAGAAGCTAGCCTATGTTGATTGACGTTTTATTATATTTTATTCCTTTAAATAAACGACAATTTAACCTTAGCGTTACCGTCATCGAGACAAACTGTGCCATCGGCAAAAGGGGAATAGAGTCAGTACGCATATCACGTCTGAAACGCTTATCGGGTTCTCCGAGGATCAAGAGGCTCTCAACAGTGATAAGGATCGTGCATGTTCAGAACGTGCTTTTAAGTAAAATCTTCCGACATTGGCGTCGAAGCGAGTCGGTGCTAGAAAAAGGGCCTGAAACAGTGTCCACGATGCCCTAGATTGCATATACTTGGACGTTATTGAATGCGCATTGCGTGAAGAAAATGATGACGTTATATATATATATATATATATATGAGCCCAATAAAATTAAAGAATAACATCTTAGAATTTACGAAATTATCTTTGAATTTATGTTTACTCGATTGAGTTTTGTGGGATATATTTTGCATGGGATAAGAACGTATCAGTTTGTCCAGGTTAGCTTTGAATACGTGTTCACGTACGCAAGATTTAATCCAGAAACCCAGAAGTGGTATCTAAAGAAGCTGTTAGTTGAGCGGTCATGAGGCATCACGGAGCAACCTGAGCCCATACCTTCACTGCCGCTGCAAATGCAGTACCGAAAATCGAAAGCAAACAAGCCATTTTTTAAAGTACAAATAGTTCCTGATCAGTGTGTGAGGCCTGTAAGATAGTTCATATGAACGGCACATCGCTTATTATGTTTGTTGTCATTTGCAGATAAATAAACGAAAGAAGAGAAGTCAGAGGGCATTTATCCCAAAGACTAAACGACAGGCGCTCACCATACGTCATCAACCTTCGTGACACCTTCCAAGCCGAAGAACTCTTTCAGCACCTCAGCTGAGCTGCTTCTTAATAGGCTACTTTCCCCGGCATATATATCGTGCGGGGCTGTA